TGCAATTAAAAACCTCAGGGTAGGCACGAATGGGCTGCTCTTTGTTAGGTTAACAGCAGTTGGAGGAGACTGAGAGGAAGAGGAAGATTGCCTGTGCCGTGTTCTGCTGGGAAACGTGGTTCGTAAGGAAGCAACGAGGAGCCAAGCATGGCTGCAGCGTATGGGCTGCCCATCCTGCCGCTCAGATGAGATAATCCAACACGGAGTCCGAAAAGGTGAGCAGAAACTTGTGCACAGCGAAACAGCCAAGATCTGGAACGAGCTAAGTTTAGATTTGTTCATTTGACCTTACTTCAACATCCGTGAGCATCCTTGCTCCCATTTCTCTCCCGCAGGAGGTTGCCCCTCTCCCCAGGCCCTCGCAGTAGCTTACTTGCAGATGAACTTTGCACCCTGAGGGAGGAGGTAGGTCAAGCGAGGAGGAAAGGAGGGAAAATAAAATAAAGCCCTTGTTTGTTGACAGAGCTATCGTCAGAGCTGTTTTCATTACTCAGAGTGCAAGTGCTGCTATGTCTGGACTCCTGCTCCACTGCTGTTGGTTTTGGTACTTTCTGATAATACAGAACTAACTGACTGTGCTCCCAGCAGATCCTCTCCTCCTTTATCCCCTCTCGCCTTTACCTAAATGTGACTAAGTAATACAGGGTGACACGTCAGTAAGAGAAGTCCTCCACTTGCCCCAACTCACTGTATACCATCTACCCAAGTCTCAAAGGTGGCAAATGTGCTCAACACAAGTAGGCATTAAGATGCTCATACCCCACTTTACTGTGCAGTCTAAGTCCCTGCCTTATTCATAAAATAATTGATCTGTAAATACGAAATGTGTTGGCAAATAGAAGGCCTGGGACCTGCTGTCAGTGCAGCCTGGGGAGGCTGTTCAGGCTGGTGGTTTATCAGTGAAGCGATAGCCAAAGAGAAGTAGACCCGCTTCAAAGGTGTTGTCTAAAGATAGAGATAGGACTTGCCCATTTGACGTGCCGCATGGGCTGAGAGTCTGTCTTGGAATGAGTCACTTGGATCTTTTTTTTTTTTTTACAGATACTTTTTATTATGATTATGGGTTGGGCGGGGATTAGACATCAGTGGTGTTCTGCAATAACAAGGCAGTGATGTGGGTAGAAAAATAACATTTCTAATTCTGCAAAGCCAGTGCTGCTAGACTGCTGGTAAAGCACAAGCGTCTTTGGTTCTGACTTTGCAGAAAAAACCTGCTCTGTTTTAGTATTTTGTTGAGGCTCGCACGTAGTGTCTGACGCTATGGGAGCTGAGCGCTTTCCAGGAGTGCAGTAAATCCTGCGACAAGCCTGTGCCATGTGCCATTCTTTTCCATCCCACTTTTCTTCCCCTTGAGGAAAGCGAGCTATATATGACGCATTTTCTGTTTGCTTTTTTATTTTGTGATGTGTTTAGGACTCTCATTAGCAAGGGCAAGGTCAAAGGAATAGATTTGTTTTGGAAAAGAAAAGACTAAATCTTGATGTGCTTAATATCTGATCGTGTTTTGGCCTGGGTCTATAGAAAGCTGTTCCCTGCCTAAGCTTTGCCTTTGCAGTGCACATGTTCTTATGGCAGAGAAGTGACGGAGATGCTGATGAGCTTTTAATATTAGTGTTGGCTGTCTTCCATCCCTGTTTTCTTTCTCTCCTTCTTTGTCTCCCCCTCACCTCCTGCCAGCCCTAGCCAACACGAATGTATTTCTGCTGTACCCTGAAGTGATGAGCAGAACTGACTCAGTATGAGCAGAGCCCAATACCAGCTGACTGTAGGTTGTCTTGGACAGCTTTAGGGAAAAAGGAGGGTAAAAAATAAAATGCAGAGGGCAATGACCTCATTTCTGTGCTATGAGCATTTTGCAGCTGGCAGAAGGCCAGGGGCAGGAGGAGGCATGGCTGGAACAAACCCCACTGCAGCAAACCTGGCAGGATTTTGGCAGGAAGAAGCACAAACCGGGTAGGTAAGGTTCTCAGATAATGTGAACCAAACATTACACATGCTCACCTGAGACCTTCCCACCAGTTAATTTTTTTTTTAGGTGGGGTCGGAGGAGCGCGAGAGGGTGTGAAGGGAGAGAGAGATGAAATAACGAGCAACACTACATCCGCTTTACACATCCAGCTGCACACCAGATGACCTGAGCTGCTAAGAGCATCCTGTGGTACCTTCCTTGTTTCCCCACTCATTCCCATCAGGTTTGGCTCACCAACATGGGTGAGATCACTGCAGCAGGCACCCACTGAAGCCAGGATTGCCAAATGACACATGCCAAAAAAAAAAAGCCCCTCAAAAAAAGCCTCACAAACAGAAAAAAATAAAGGAAAACTACAGACCTTGGATTTTTCACCCTGTTACTGACGCTGATCATAAAAATCAGGACAAATCACAACACATGGCATCTATGGCCTAAATATAGTCCAGGCTCCTGGCAGCACTGTGATAGGGGAGATAAAATTTGCCTGCTTTGCCTCCTTGCATTAGTCCTAATCCCAGTATACAGAGGAGTCTGGCCTGAGTCAGACAGCCCGTCCCAGAGCAGCTCAGCAGAAGTCTGTCCTGGTGAGTCCTGGCAAGATGTCACACCAGGCCAGATTGCAGATAAGGAGGCACCCATCCCCTGTTGCTTTCAGTGGGAGGTAGGGAGCTAAACCCCTCTAAGAAATTAGCCTGTCATGCCTGAATGCTATACGAAGCAACTTCTGCTCCTGGTACTTAACATTTAAAAGAAAAACTTCCCCTAAACCCCTGTCCCTGTTAAAAACTCCTCATTTCTTGCAGCTAGGATGGGAACCTGGCACCCTGCAAAACATTGGAAGTAGCTGTCCACTGGATTGCTATACTGCAAATAGACTGTGCTATTAATAATTATTAACGTGATGAACACTTCCCCTATATAGATATAATGATCCCAACAAAAAGACCCCATTTCTGCTCTTTAAAGATCAACTTTTACACAAGGTTGATGGGTGAGAGCAGTCAGAGTGCTCTTAAGCATGTGCTGTAGTGGCGAGGATGTGATTTCCCCTCCTTTCTTCACCATTCTCCCTTGGCAATGCCCCATGACAGTTGTTCAGTGCTCCACGAAAGGACTCTATGGTTCTGCCCAAATTTGCTGCTTCTTCATTATTTTGATACAACGATTGTCAGGCATTTTGAGACAGTGCTGTAACACAGTTTTATCTCATTACAGAGAGGTTAGATGTTAATTATTTATAATACCAATGCCACCAACTGCTTTTGCAGTGCCTTCCTTGGGAAGATCTCAAAACACTTTACAAAGGTCAGTCGTATAGCCAGACTTTTAAATCTGGAGCAGTTTATTAGACCCCAATCAGATCAGCTGACATTGACATGCAAATACAACCAAAGGCGTTCAGCAAGCACAACGTGCGATGCCACAGAACCGTGATATTGAGAGCAGAGATCTCCGCGCTTTGGCTTTGCAGTTTTTACAAACTGTTTCCCGCTCCCGTTTAAAACCCAACGCTTGTGCCAACAAACGGCAGGAGGATTTTATGCCAAGTTTCCCTCCTGCCAGGCTCTCAGAAAATGTTATCACTCTCCTCTCAGGCTCTTTTCTCAGGCAGGGTTGGTGCAGCCTGTTTCCAACTCTGGGACTTGCTAACTCCCACACCAGTTTCTCCACGGACAAAACCAGCTTGAAGCCGGCAGGGCAGTCACTTGCTTTCACTCTTTTTCTCGGCACCCACTAAGTCAAAGGAAGATGCTCGGGAGGGAGAGGGACCACATCCCAAGCCAAGGGGACCCTCTTCTCTGCTTTCAGCAAAAAGAGTAAGGCTGGGCTTTTTCCCAGCCTCCCTTTTATAACCTCTGACTTTCTGTGCAGGAAATGGCTCTTACTAGTCTCGACGTTATCTTTTAAATGCATCTTGGGCTTTTGAGCAGAGAAAGACAGCCGGCTTTCCTACCCAGAAAACCTTTTAATAACTTCCCTTGGAGGCTGCTGCTTTGCCCAAAGCAAAGGCTTGTGGAGCACAGTTGGGCTTGGAGAGGAAGGGAGAAAGGGAAGAGGGTGAGGAGAGCAAAAGAAGAAAATTCTTTGCAGGAAAATGGAGCTAGGAGTTCAGGAGGCAGATTTGCTCCGGGCGTGTTTTCCTCTCCGCTCCCATTCGCTGCTGTGCTGCCCTGCCGAGGTTGCATTGCTGAAAGGGAACATGCAGAAAACAACAGACCCGGACAGGGTAGAAGACATTATTTAATAGCTCGTCTTAAATAACATGACAATGTCAACAGGTGATGAACTTACACCTGTCAAAGGTGACACAGAATATCCTGTTGTGTTTTGCCATTTATCTGGTGCATACGTTTAGAAAATAGAAACAAATACTGTCCCATCAGGAGCTTCAGTATATAATCAAGGTTTAGACTTTCTTTTTTAAGAAACAACTTGACATTGAATCAGAGGTGCAAAAGCAACATGATATATAAACAAAACTAGTTTTAAATAAGTTTTTAAGCGTGTTCTCTACTGAAAGCTATTTCTTAAAATTCAGTTTTATGTCTATAAATACATAGTACAAAAATGCACGTTTACAAGCTGTTTTTCCCAATAGAGTTATGCCACTTGAAGTTTTAAGTAGCAACATTCCTCCAACATAAGATGCATACATTTAAAAGCAATAACATTAAGTATTTACATATAAAGTTATGAAATGTTTGAGGATATAAATTAGTAACAACACACACAGACAAAAATACACCTACTGTGAAATAAATAATTCAACAGCTTTACATATGAGGGTATCTATAATATTATACAAACAAAATATACAAGATTGCAGGACTTGATCTTGCAGTTGCTCATATCTGTCACTCGAGCATCTGAGTAATCCCAGTGCGGTAAAAAAAGCTACTTTATGGGGTTACTCATATGCTGAAAATCAGGTGCACAAAACTACCTTAGTGAAATGTCTCCTGACTGAAATGTCTCCTGACTAGATCAGGCCCCACAGAAAACTTGGTGTGAATGAATGTGTTTAGTTTTATTCTTGTGAGCTGAGATACTGTTGGCATTCGGGATCTCCTTTAATTTCTGGAGATCCAGGAATTCTTCTTCCATTTTTTGGAAAGACACACCAGCATCCAGCAGATTCTCCATCCAGTGACGTTTCACACTAGAATATTATTAGCAAAACAAACCCCACAGTAAATAACTGTCAGCAGAAGATTGCTTGTGAGATACTGTAAGTTGAGGGGTTGGACAGAACTAGGATCAGAAGGTGGACTTGTAAATGCAGTGGTTGCTGCTCTGACCGACACGCCGGGTTAGGGAGCTGTGACCCAAGCTCAGCTACCACAACAGCAACTTCAGATTTGAAACACTTTGCCCACTCCTTGGTAAACAGCAGTATAAAACAGCAATATCTTCTAGCGTGAGAAACTGAAGGAAGGCAGAATAGAGGAGGTGGTAGGGCGATAGCAATGACTGGATGGTCTGGCTCTTCAAGCAAGGAGGCAAATAGGGTGGTTTTTTTTCTTGGTGAGGGGGTTAAACAGATTTCTGTTTGTGCCTGATTAGATGCCAGGTCACAATATTTGTGAGTCACACAGCAGGGCCATGCCCAAAAAGAAGGACTCTCGGTGACACAGATTTATGCAGACCTACTAAATTTGTGTGCATGACCTGTGGTTACAAGGGTGTGGCTTGAGGTTTGGAGCTTTAGTTAGGTTTGCAGATTACTGTCAGTGTAACTTGCTATGGCTTTTTTTTTGAGGCTATAATGGAAATGAGCATATAACATAATCCATAGGCAGCACAAATCAGTATTTTTGTTCTACTTTCAGAAGGCTAATTTTGCTCCAGAGTGGTTTTTTTCACTGCCTGGGAGTTTTTCACTGCCTGGGAGCTGAGACCCTCCTTTCTCCATAGTGATTATTATATATTCAGTGGGTTTTTCAGGCAGTACGCTGGATATTACAAATTAAAGTCAATTGGGAATATCCTAACAAATCAGGTATATGGAGCTTGATTTGGCCTGGGAGCAGAGAGGGTTAAAAGATTTTGCAGAAGGCCTCGCCTGCACCTGTTCTGTGAATGGAAAAGACTCCTGCTTCCATTGCTGTCAGCCCACAGCATGCGGCTCACTTTTAAGAGAAGGAGGACAAACCATCTGCTCCCACTACTAAGTAAGTATCCCTGTTTTCACAACCTGCTTTTCCAGCAGCTGCAAACTCGTGGGTTTGGGAGCAGAGGACTACAGGAAGGGTTGGCTGGGTCAGGCTGGTCTCAGCGCTGCTGTGAGCGGACAAGGGAAAAGGCACGTACCTGTTTGCTGTGGTAAAAGCCATTCTTGTTGCAGTTGGGCAAATAGAATTTGTAAATCTCCCCTCCGCTTCTCTGCTGAGCCTGTGCCAATTTATACAGGGCTCTGTAGAGCTCCTTCTGACAAGGTCCCTGCAGGAATACCATGCAAAGGTTGTCAATACCAAAATCACAAAGAAACTAGCTAAACAAAAAGTGATCAGTATAAAGCTAGCAAAAAGCTGAAAATACTTATTAGTCATATAATCTGCACCAGGCTGCTTTGCATGTAGTTTTTACTTGTTTCAGTAGGAGCACAGCCAGAAAATTCTGGTGTTGCATTTAGGCCTTTGTTTTTATTCTTTGAGGTATTTTCTGTCCTCAGAAACATGAGGATTTAAGTCCTTAAATTGCCACACAAGGAAATTTAACCTGTACTAAGTAAACACATTACTGCTCAGAGGGTACAATCTCTCCTATTATGGGGAGGTGCACGTTAGGAGGCTGGTGTACGTGAGACTAGCCACGTTTTCTGGGTTGCCATGGCCCTGTGCTCTGTTGATGTATGGAGAATAGGTGCAAGACATATATAGACAGGGCAAGAACAAACATCTGAATGTTTGTTATTTTTTGTACGGGACAGAGCTGTCGCCAAAGCAGAATAGAGAGCACCCCTGTGGCTCTGAGACCCAAAGTGCCTGGAACTGAAGATGAAGAACTGTTCGCAATATTCCCTATTTTCACAATTTGCTCGCTCCTTTTTGCAAAGTCACAATTGCCACGCATTAATAGTACCCAAGGTGTTTAAATGAGTAAAAGGGGAGGAGAAGTGACTGAAAAAATATTTTTACTTTAGAGTGAAAATAATCATACCCTTTGCTTTTGCAAGACCTCCCCGTGTCAGCCCCTCACATAAGCGGTCCTATTCAAGTCAACGGGCTTATCTGTGGCTCTGGGTGAGAAAAGCAGAAGCCTAAAAATTAGAACTGGAGCTAACAGCACTTATCTATAATAGTTCAAACTAAATCAGTGCTTAAGTCCTGTTCTGGATGTGGAATGAGGCTTCCTAGGGTGGGATAGTGCTCTAGTAGGTTTTTGCCCTTTTTTTTTTTTTCCTTTTCCTTTGTTTTCCTTTTGTCTGTGACCATTAGGGAACTGGGCTTCCGTGGTGCCCAGCTCTCCTTCGGCTCCGCGCTGCGGGTGCGCTGGCGGCCCGGACTGGGCGAACGGCGGTTCTCTGGTGCCCTCACGTGGAACAGGGACTCGCTTGCAAAGGGCCCCCGGCCCCAGGACCCACTGCCATTTTGCAGTGGTAAACGCTCTCTTTAATTGCTGAGCCTTCTGTCTTTTTACGTGCATCTATTTAATAGTGTTTCCTTGTGATCAGAAAGAAACACGTTTTGGTTTGCGTTGGTGCTTCATCAATACCTGTATGTAAGGATTTTCCTTTATTTCATTGAGCATTGGACCAGTGAGAAATGCCCTTTAATTTTTAACTATGACACAAAAGGAGTCCGAGATTTTGATACGGGCTCCTGGAAATCGAGGGCCCATGTAAAGAGAAAAATTCAGCCTCTGCATAGAGTCATAGATCTGATGCACACCTGGTTTTATTGCTCCTGCCATTTTGCCTGTTCCTCAAGCATCTGATGAAGGCATGCCAGAAGTCTGTTTGCTGCCGACCCGAAATACTCATATCCCAGTGCTGCTGCTAGAACTTCATGCACATTTTCACTTTGTATTCTGAATCAATAGCATCTACTGAAATGGTCTCTGAAAGGTTTGCAAAGAAAACCCACCTGCTCTTTCCATTTCTTGAGTTCAGATATTCTCTTTGCTTTCATGTTTTCATATGCAGTGATGGCATTCCAGGGGATAGATTTGTCCTGGCCTATGGGAAACATCAACTGATAGTTCAGCAGCTGGTCCTGTGTCATTTCAGTGCTTTCCAAAGGTATATCATCAGGTTCAATAGAGTCTGGAAAGGAATGATATTAAGGTGAACATCTTCAGTGAACTTTTGCATTTATTTCTCCAAGTTAAAAAGGTAAAGAAAAAGAATCAAGGATAACAACAAAAGTAATATCTAAGACAGATCCATTACAGCAGCTCTTGCAGGAGTAATAGATTACATGTGCAGCTCAGCAAATTAAGCTTTTGTCATAAATTCGTAGAAGGATGCATCAGCTGTTCTCTAACAAGTTGGTTATTTTACAGTCCTTCGAAATCACTCTAATCCCAAAGATGAAGCTGCAGCCAGTCTGTTAGAAATGAAAAAACTTTCTTGACCACAGTGGGTTGTAGGGACTTTGCTAAATGAGGAAAGACTGGAGTGAAACTTGTAATGAACTTAGATTTTTGTCAGCATGATGTGTTTCAGTTTTTATTCAGGAGAGGAACTGGTCCAGACCTGATCCCATGGCATCCTGTACTTTGTGGCTTGCCTTATGAATAAGAAGGGGTAGCAATTCACAGGAGCCAGCAGTAGCTCACACCAGCCTGCAGTGGATCAAATAGCCAGGGAATAGCAGAAGCTGTTTGGGACTGCCTGGTCATGGCCTGCACGCCAGTCCCTAATGCACAATTCAGCATGTAGGAACTCTCCCACTGGAAGCAACAGAAGGTCTTTGCAATTGCAGGGACTCATGGGATCGAAGTTTGAGATGTGTCTAAATAACTTGTTGGATCAAGGCTGTAAACAATTATCCAATGGACTAAAACCCACCTGTTTTTCGCTTTGACAATGTCTGAGAAAAAATGGGGGTGGAAAATTAAGGAGGGAAAGAAAGAAGGAAGAAAAAAGAAAGAAAGAAAAAAGAAAGAGAGAGAGGCAAAAGAAAGAAGGAAGAGGAAAGAAAGAAAAAGAAAGAAAAAAGAAAGAGAAAGGAAAGAAAGAAAGATTAAAATAAAGCCAAGGAAAGAATCAAATCAAATCAAATGCTAGGCTGTCTTAACTGCAGGAGGCTTAAACACTCAGTTCAGTCACTGCTCTCCCTCTTCCCTGCCCCCTCAGGTACAAGAGAAACTCCACTCCCTGCCACCGATGGCCGTTGTTATTTTCAGTCAACGACGATTGTTTTTGTAATGAGGTACCTTAATCACCACTGCACGAACATAGCAGTAATGATGGTGAAAATGATAACAATAATAATAAAATGTAAAATAATGAAATAACACTGAAGAAGTTCCCGGTCATCATATAGCGTAAGATGCTTGATACGGTTTTACTCAGCCAGTCCGGCAGGCACTGCAGAACTCCAGGTGCATGTTAGCCCTGACGTGCGCCAGGCACAGAGCCCGCCTAGGTCTCTTCATTCTCTGTCACGACTTTTGGAGACGGACGTAAGTCTGTAAAACCTTTGTCCTACTGTAGTTACTGCTCACTACTAAAGAAAAAACTGTCCACATCTTCCCAGAAAGCTTATTCAGATTCTTCTCCATTGTCCCATTACTTCGCTTTAGGGTTTCCCGGCTTTGCTGCCTGTGGCGAACCTCTCCGGGCTCCGCACCAGGATGCTCCTCACCCCACGCAGCTCAGAGCACGTTTTCCTGGAGAAAAACCGCAGCCCGGCTTCCCTCTTTTTCAAACGCCTGCCTTAACTTTACTCTTT